TGTGCAAGGGATTAAGAAATTGAATCCAAAAATATAACTTTCACTTATCTTTTCAAAATCGTGCTGCGCGCGTTGACCTTGACTTGATGGGTAAAGGACTTCCGCCACATCCCTTGCCGCACTTCGGCCTATCGGAATTCCATACTGCCATTTCTAGCCCGGTATCTCACCTGCAAAGATGTTGAAAAACAAAAACCTTAAAGTCCTTTTTTCTTCATATATAATCATGTCCACCTGTCTGTCCAAAAACCTGTTAATCTCTATGGTAATCACTGTGTACTGGAGAACCGTTTTTGCTGAAAGTTTTGAAAGTTATTTTCAAAATAAAGCAGTCCTCTCTCTCTCTTCTTCTAAAGGAGATTTGAGATACTGACTGAATATTTTCATCTCTTTGCTGGAAATTTTTGCTGAAAGTTTTGAATGTTATTTTCAAAATAGAGCATTTCTCTCTCTCTTAGGGTGTCGGACCCAGACTCGGGTATACTCCTTATGAGTGGATTTACTGCGATGAAGTCGAGGGCCTTGTGGCTTATTCTTACGTGCAAAGACTTCATTACAAATGTCCCGGTCATCGCCTTCGTCTGATCTAGGGATGCTTGGTGTGCTTAGTTGACGCATTGTTTCGAGCTTTCTAAGGCTTCTTGGGCATTCGGCAGTACGGCTTTCGCCTGCAGTGTACAAAACTTCTCTTTCTTAAGCTGGATTTATTTGCTTTCCGGGCGCTCTGGAACATTTTCTTTCTCCGAAACCCCTTCTGGTCACCCGTCTCCCGCACCAGACATCGATTCACATTCAAACTAAGCACCACGAACTCAGCGTTTTCTTTCTGATCGGTTGAAATAGCTGAGGAAGCCGTGTTCCATTACGTGCCTGCTTTTTTCTGAACTTATGGTGTCAGCGATCCTCTCTTTTTTGGACCAAGGTCGAAGGGCATTTCTCAACCCTTCTGTTTCCACTTTCAGGTCCTTTATCGCATTTTCCATTACTAAGGATTTTTGAAGGAATCCGGAACATTTCGCTTATGCTTTATCTTCGTATTTGGCGGCGGATTATTGGAAGACTGTGGTAAATGCATGCTTTGGACTCCAATTTTAATTGTTAGATTATGGAACTTGCTGAGACGTAGAAGAAAATTGTTAGGCCGATCAACTACACGAAGTAAAGAGTAGGACTATCCAGCAGCTCATAAATCTGGAGGGAACCGTTGACCTGTTGACAGAAAAGAGATCAGAAGGGGATGCATTACTTTAGATAAGAACTTTTGTAAGTTTGTAAGAATGATTATATGACTGGGCCGACACCACTCCCTATTAATGGGATGCTGCAAGGACAGAAAATGAACCGGATTTGTAGTGGAAGTTATTTCTTCGGCGATCGAACGGTAATATTTATTTTTTTATGATGGCGGATCTCAGGATACAGTAAAAACAGTCCCTTTTCGGTATAGAAGCCAGGTGGTTGCTATATAAATCGGAATCTTACGTGCATAAAGATGCCCACTTGTTCTTTTACCTCTGCGGTGTGCTTCCGTTCACCCCGTTAGTATTTTCCATCAATATAATAAGACATATTATGTTTATTTTAGCATCGTCCTTTGATTCTGTCAGTCTGTTTCGAACAACAAAAGGTTGTGCTCGTATCCGTCTTTCAAGGGTTAGAGGCAGAGCTCTTGGTGACGCTATTTATGTACAGGGATTTTATACATTCGCACTCAAAATTAAGTGGCAGACATTTATAATATGTTTGTATCACAACAAAACCGTAATAATTAGGAGGCACATCTGTTGACTGCTAGTCAGTACGGAACGACTGTACATGAAAAAGTGTTTTACAAAGCTGGCTGTGAGTAGCCATGTTGTAAAGGTCGGTTTTTGCCCAAGATTACGTAGGCAAGTCTTTTAAAACATGCGAATTGTGTTAACCGTCATCATTTCAATTGCTAGCGTGTTCCATGGTCGGACAATCCGTTGCTTGACGTCGAACGTCTTAAAATCCACCCGCGTACGTTCGTCCTTGAATTTGTAAAAATGTGTAGCGGCCGCACCAGTCCCCCTTTTTCCGGCTCCGTTTTGTCGAACGGTGGTCGCGACAACTGACGACACACGGCCACACCTGCCGGCTATAACTGAGACACCTTCGGTCCAACTGGCGCGACTCTCGGCTGCCCTCACAAACTTTCATCACTTCGCGCGCGTCGAACGCTCTGGCACAGGTTGTGTGTTCGAATAACGTCGGAGTCAGCAATTTGCGGTGGTCAAGGATGTGAGATCAACCTAAAGCGCACACAATAATTTCGTTTCGCTTAAGGTTGAAAGCCAGGGAGTCGTGAGGACTAGTATATTCTGTACACCCGGCGGGTTGCCCTAAGTTGACTGTTTGCTTGCGACAAAGGTAAGCGTCCGTTCATGGGGAGCGTAAGTTGCTTTGTGGTGTTTACGCGGGAGTAAATGTCTGCGTCAGCAGGGGTGGGCGACTGACTGAGCGTTGGTCGTGTTCAGTTTATTTTCAGTTTATTTGGTAAGGATAATAGGCAAAGCCTTTGAAAACCCTATTAATTACATGGCAGCTCGTTAGAAATAACTGTACACGAACAAAAAATGTTCACTATTAAAACAGTCCTTGGTTCATTTGAGCAGCATTGTCTCAGAGAAAATATTTGTCTGGACCACGGGTATAGGTGGCAAACTTTTGAATTTTATATCCTCTTATTTGGGCACTCGCACACAACGAGTTAAGATTTCCAATACCATCTCCAACCCCACACGTGTGAGGAGTGGAGTCATTCAGGGTAGTGTACTCGGCCCGCTTTTATTT